ACACTTCCTTCATTTGAACAGCTTGCAATGCTTTATTTCTAAACGTTTGGCGATAAAGGAAATGTCCACGACCTGACAAAAGACTATCTACTCAACCTTCTAAATATAGCTGTTATGTTAGATAATGCAAAATAAACCCCAAACCTCACAAAGCCCGAGATGTGCTGCAGTTTTAATAGTAACATCCCTGCGCAATATTTAAACCATTCAAGTGCACAGCTGGCAGACTAATCCGCTCACACAGCCTCCTCTCCTCCAGCAAATTCCTTTTATAGTATGCAATTTGCAATGCAAGCATCCTCCCGTCTCCTCTACACTCAGTCCCACAATCTGGTGAGGGAGGCGGTAGAGCCAAGCAACGAAAAAAAAAATTGTAAAAAAAAGGGCCCCAGCACAGCAAGACTTCATTAAAGATGGTTGACCTAATAACAGAAGCTTACAATTCCGTGCCTTTCCACTGATAGGGGAACAATGGAGGATCACAGATTAGCTAATTAAATGGGAATATCAAGTAAGGAGCAAGCTGGGTGAACGCATGCATAGCCCATGTGTACTATGTGTTATTCTACAAAAGTTCAAGTCAATGATCAAAGATTTGTCATATACAAGTGCTTGCATCACTTCCTGATATTCCCATCAGCCTATGGCAGCAGGGTTGAAACTGAAAGGCTGGCATTTACTGGCTGAGACGGCTGGTGGGAGGAGTCACCAGGAGTAAACAGCTGACATAGTCAGGGAATTACTTGCCGTTCACATATACTAACCAAGACATTGCAAGTATCTTTATCAGACAGAAAGCATTGTATGACTCAGTCATGGCAACATTCGAGGTATGTCGGAGGCTCAGATTGTGCAACCAGCAAAACCCGTGTGTGCTACAAGAAACCTTCACCTGGTCATGCTTGTCTATGGAGCATAAAGAATTAAACTGCAGTTGTGGCCTTACATTGCCGTGGTCCCGAGCTCAGTTCTCACAAGGACGACATCGCCGTGGTCCCGAGCTCAGTTCTCACAAGGACGACATCGCCGTGGTCCCGAGCTCAGTTCTCACAAGGACCACATCGCCGTGGTCCCGAGCTCAGTAAGCACAAGGACGACATCTGTGGTCCTGAGCTCAGTAAGCACAAGGACGACATCGCCGTGGTCCCGAGCTCAGTTCTCACAAGGACGACATCGCCGTGGTCCCGAGCTCAGTAAGCACAAGGACGACATCTGTGGTCCTGAGCTCAGTGCTCACAAGGAAGATCATTTTAAAGGATTTCCAATGTTCTGGCCCAAAGTAAAGAAGGTTCTCTTGTGGAACTTTGGTTTCCTCCCACAGTAAGACAATACTGGTAATCACTGGCTCTAGTAATTGTGTAGGTCTTTATGAGGAACATCAGACTGTGTAATATAAAGAGCTGACATTGAAACAAATGGCCATAAACTCTTATGAGCCAGCATAAAAGGCAAGCAGTAAAAAGACACTTTGCTGGCTAAAATGAGTGGTTGGGGCCAACCTACATAACCAGGAGAAAGTTACACCAATGCAAACAAATTACACCTGGAGTGATGTATGGAGGCTACCAGTGACCACCAAACACCAAAATTATCCTTGGTGTCAAGTGCCAGCAAACCAATCACACTGTATATTTTACATGAAACCAGTAATTTGCCTTGGCATGCTACCACCCCAAAATACTCTTTTACAGCAAAGTAACCGTCCCCCTTCATAACCTAACCTTTGGGGGTTTTTACGTTTTCCCCCCTTGCTTTACAGTCCAAGTAGCCCCCTTCCACCTAGGTGAGAATGAGGTCACTCTGCTCCTACAGCCTCCTGGGAAATCCAAGTGACATATCCCAGAAGGCATCAGCTCAGGCATTGCAGTGTTGGAAGGACCTTGCAGCACCTCATTAGGGGGCCAGCTGCAAGAACCCAGAGAAAAGACACCCCA